TTTCTTGGTAAACCCGATGGCATTGTTAGGTTAGACAACTTTTTGCGTAGAATGTCGCAGTGAGACTTACGCAAGCTATGCTTCTATCATTGCTAGTTATGAAACTAACGGATTTTTTATCGGCTAATATAACAAAACGTGATAAAGAAAACGGTAGCAAACAGTTATCACATTTGACGTGTCGCAGTGTAAAAGACTACCACAATTTCGTTTGGCAGATAACTTGAAAACCAAAAAAACACCCTTTCCACTAAAGGTGTTTGATTTTATTTTTTAAATTGCGCACAACTCTGACTCAAAACCTATATTTTGTGAAATACATACTAACACAAACACGCCACTCCAAGGTATTGTAAGTTACATTGTTAATCAAATAAATTGTTAATACTTTGTCAATTTGGCATTACTATGTTCCCCAAAATGAATCTTCTATTTTGATATGTCATCAAATCTACAGTTTCTTAAAGTAGTCTTCGGTATCAAAAGGTTTTTAAGATAGAAAAAGGTTACACTTAATTATGGCATGCCTTGAGACTCTGCGATCCTCTACTCGCGAATTTCCATTAAAGAATCGAAGAGGTGGGAAAGTAATTATATCATTATTCACGACCATATATGCATGGCATAAATACCATTCAGTTAAATAAAAAAGGTATTACAACAACAAAATGCAGTAAATGAACAATACCTACAATGAATCACTGGATAGGAAAAATTAATAATGGAATTACAAAAAAAAAACAATTTCAACCAGAAAATGATGCATCATTATGTACCATAATTTACTAGCCATACAGCGAACTAAACAAACACGTGAATGGCCCGATTATTTGTGTATTGTTACACGAAACCCATTACAAACAATGTCAATTAGCACATTTGCAGTAAATAGACGTGGGATTAGATGAGTAAATTTCACGGTATTACATTCACGCATCTTCCAATGTTTTATTTGTATTTTCATTCTTGGTTTCCGGCGATCAGTCATTTTTGGTTAATCAACGTAACTGGTCGTGCGAAAGTAAAGTGCCGCTTTGTTTTTGAATTAAGCGTTTTTCTTGTTTTTTTTTCAAAATTTTTGGTGAGAAGTTAAACTTTAATATCGACTTTCGCTGAGATTGAGGGTTTTGTGGAGAAACCCTAATAAAAGTTGGTTAGTAGTTTCTTATTACTCCAGATTTTGCTCTAATTTAATTGAAATTGAATTTTATCACTCTATCATTTAGAGGTGGGCTCCCGAAATTCCAGAGACAGTAATGTGTATTGCAATAGAAAATACAAAAGAACAATTCGGCACCATTTGGATTCAGTAAGAATTTTTGTACGAGTTAGCATTAGAATGGAAATTAAAAATACTCCAAATCTACAAACAATTCTCTCTATGGAATACCTTCTTAAGAGTTTTTGTTTGAGTTTGCATTAGAAAATAATCCACATGTAAATTATAAAACTGTAGAAAATGCCATAGGGGTGTTATTATCTCCCTGGGGTTTCTGTAGGGGGGTTACTGTCTCTCGGGGGTTTCTGGAGAGGGGTTTTGCTCGGAGGGATTTTGGTTAGGGACCATTGTCCTGTACCGTTCTTCTACAAGAATTTTACAACCTCCAAAACTGTCTTTTACCAAAAAAATGCATTCATTAAATCTGACCGCCAAACTCCAAAAAGCAACATCTAACGTTTGCTTCGCCTGTTTAACGACTCTTCCCTTCTGTCACTTTTCAATGTTGCTTCGTCGTCGTTTTCCCAACATTAGTAAATCAAGTCTACTAAAAAGGACGACAGGCTCCTTCTCGTGCATCAACTTACGGCGCGTCTTCGATAAACTGAACACCTGTGTTTACTATCGGCGAGTACCTGCTTATCTTAACATTAATTAGCTTTTACGAAACGATAGGAGCTTGCATGACCGGATTTTAAATGAGATAAGCTTTTATAATACACTTAACGCAATTATTTCCAGATGTCCTTAATCTTTCTCTGCTGTAGTATTTTGTTTGGTAGGTAGAAGCCATTAGTATAAGATATGCCAATATATTGTTTATTTAAAACGAATTGTTCGTTACTAGAGGGTAGACAATAATGACGTTAATTAAATATGATTCGGTTTCCTCGTGCCTTGTTAAATTTAAGGTTAAAATTAATTTTTATTGAAAAAAACATAATTAGGTCCATTATCCACATTATCACAATAATTGTATCCCTAATTCACCGAACCATTTGCATTTCAGGTGCATTATCCGTACTGGTCTTTCATCAAGTTCAACACTAGGTTAAATTGGACTATTCCTAACTATTCCTAATTCTCATCATTTAGAAAAATTTGGTAATGATTTCTTGATTTCTTAGCCAACATGCATGGTGGAATACTGAAGACTATTCTATTTTTTATGTACCGTGTGTGCTATTTTGGTTGAGACAATGAGACTACATACATACATCAGCTGTTTTTAAAGATATAGAGACTTGCGGTTTTCGCGACATTGGGCCCCTTTTTGGTAAAACTTTTAATTCCACAAACAGATTCAATGAGCTACTTTGATTTCTGGGATACAGGGCGAAAAAGAAAATTTTTACTTTTTGGATGTTATTACAACTGCCTATTTTAGATAGGTATGTTACCAAAGACTATCCATAGTCTGTTTTTACGTAGAATCAAGTTGGGTAGTCACAGAAATTTTTTGGACCATCGTTTCTGAGGCTTGATCCAAAGTTGGTATTTGTTAAATGCAACACCCTGTATATCTTAACGTCAATTTTTTGCATTATTTTTTCCAATTGCATTGATGTATCACAACCAATAGCTTTTTTAGTTTTAGCTATGAAAATAAAAAAAACTTATTTTTTACAGTTTTTAAGCAGGAGGCCATGGATACATGGGGTTTTGTTTTGTTTATTGTATCCATGGCAACATAGCATTCGATAACAATAAAAAAATTGCTAACGGTAATGGTCATTTCAAAATTTTTTTCACCTTTTGTCTATCTTACATGTGTAGTAAGATGTGATAACATCCCAAGAAGTCAAACTTTTCATTTTCACCCTGTATCTCAGAAATAAATGTAATGTGTAATATGTAATGTACTTGATTATATTGTACTAGTAAGTTTCAAAAAAAAGTGGCGCAGGGTCGCGAAAACCGCATGCCTTTATCTTTAAAATCAGCTGAAACAGACTGCAGTCTCAACCAAAATAGGACACACGGTTCTTTAAAGATTTCCCTAAAATCGTTTAGCTAATCAGCTTATGTTGCTTAACTAGCTGATTCGTTCAGAATTTATATGTACGAACATAAATAATTTCACATTTTCGAAGTACTCACGTCAGTTCAATTCTAGACGGATGACTACTATTGCTTCTACTACCACAAATCCACAATCGATTTAATTATGGTATAAAATTCTTTCTGGTCAATGACCAATGTGTCTTTTTCCTTTTTTGATAATTGTGTAGTATCTCGTGTAGTACGGAAATAAACATTCTGACCTTTGTGATAACTATCTGCTGTTATTTTACATCGAGGTCAATCTGCACATTTGTGTATAAACGCTAATGAAAGGAAGCTGCAGAAGCTGTGGATGTAGGGTAGGATAATTGACGGATTAGTTATTAGAGGGGGATATTTCAATTTGGATTTTTTAATAGTCTACCCTTTTCATTGCATCTTTCATCGTTTTCGGAATTCTGGTTGAGAATTGCGCATGCGCTCAAATATATTCCATGCAAACGTTATTCTATAGTACCAGCTCTCTGGGGACTTTGAGTCGGCATGAATTCAACTCCTAAAGCTTTTGAAAACTTATCGACTTGTAATGGGTTTCGAGGGGTGAAATCAACGTTTAAAGTTAAAAAACTTATAGCAAGAAACGCATCAGAAGAGCACATTCGTACTTGCGCAAAGAATTGCTACCCCAATGCAAAACAGTAGTTGTAAAGTCTCATCAAGTTGGAATGGGAGATTACAGTATTTATTTAGATACGTTTCATTTGTAAAATTTCTCAAAACACGTAAGCGTATTTCATTATTTATCACTTAGACATCGATGTTAAGACTAATATTAAACAAAATTCAGTGTGCTTATGTACCAAACAAAGAGCTTCTAGAGAAGTCTCGAATCTGCATATGTTTCATTAAACATTCCCTTTCTTTCCTTATCACCGATTAATTCTTTATCGACTTGATGGCGGCTAGATTGTATACCTTCATATCGCTCTAGAACATTCGCTGCAATAAAGAAAAAAAACCTAGCTGGGGCCTATTTTTGAGCACTCACTTTTTTATGATTGTTTAAAATTCAAGCGACCCATTTGCCGAGGAAAGGCTGGATGTAAGTTCAAAAGTTTTCCCAACATATTCCTACTCCACGATGGCGTGCAATTCTAAATGGGAGAGAAAAAAATCTGATCTTATCAAAATTTGGTAGGTCTCTTTGAAAGTAAGGAAAAAGTCTAATATGTTTAATTCGAAAAATATAAAACCTACATGTTGTCTATGAATGGTTTGTTGCTGTCTCCGTTTCTGATGTATCTACATACAATCGAAAATTCTCATGCAGATTTTTCTCATAATCGGCACTTTTTATATTCACGCTGTTTTAATTAAAAGACAATGAATTTAGGCAAAAAAGTAGTTCTCGGAGCTAAAGGGACGTACCTACATTTTGTATCTGATATTTGCATATATTTCCCACGACTGCAAGCTACTGTTTTGATTCACGTTTCCATAAGCTGAGTAACCTGCATACAAATCCTGCACCCCTCCGCCTCAAACCTTTCATTAAAGTCCTTTTTTATTAATAAAAGTTTCTATCGGATTCGTGGAGCACTTAATTAATACTGAATTTAAAGCTCCACACGCCCGATCTGTTAGTGTAGGGGTGAATTTTAAACACCAAAAAGTCTAACCATTCGTAAAAGATTATTTAGAATGAATCGACAGATACTGGATGCAACCGTTAGGCACCAAACTGTAGATTTGATCTAACTGTTATAATTGATTTCAGGTTCCAAGCACTGCCGCCGTAGTTATCAATACGTTTTATTATGAAATCAAAAGTTTCATTCAAAAACAATAATCCACGTAAGAATGCCAACATATTATCTGTGATAACATTTGCGTAAGTAAATAAATCAAAATTGTCACTTTTACCGACACTATCCTTACAGCTATACGTTACCAACATTTATAAAGGGATGCAAAAAAGATTTTAGCGAGGAAGATATAACCGATCATTTAGAAGAACACTCATCGAGTATGTTAGCAAATCGTCTAGAGAAGGCATGGAAAATAGAACTGTCGAAACCAAAGCCTTCACTCAGTAAAGCAATTTTCAAAACCTTTGGCATAGAGCTTCTAGTACTAGGGCTAATTTACGCGTTCAATCAACTGTTCGTTCGGTAAAAACTCAATAACGCGTTTGATTGCGTTTCTAAAACTTTATTCCAGGCTTGCACAACCGCTGGCATTATCGCAACTAATGAAATACTACAGCGCTGATAAGCAGCGTGTGTCCAGGAACGAAGCTTTGATGTATTCTGGCATAATTGTTGGTTCCAATTTCATTAATATCCTACTAGCCCACAACTATCTCCTTTCCTTGCAACACTTGGGTATGAAACTACGTGTGGCGTGCTGTTCGTTAATATACCGCAAATCGCTGAGGCTCAATCTAAACGTACTGGATGGCACTATGATAGGCCGAACTTTAAACTTGTTGTCGAACGATGTGAACAGATGCGATCGGTCAGCTCTCCATTTTCATACCCTTTGGGTTTGTCCTGTTCAAGCCGTCATGATCATTTTGACCTTGTACTACATTTTAGGATTAACATCCGCTATTGGAGTATTTGTTATGATCATGTTTGTTCCATGCCAAAGTTAGTATTTTAGAAACGTTGTGAATACAGTGAAGATTTTAGGGGCAGTTTGTTTCAGTGTACTTGGCAAAGAAGACTGCAGATCTACGCTTCAAGACTGCAATAACAACCGATAAACGAATTCGGGGCATGAACGAGATTATCTGCGGAATTCAAGTAATCAAATTTTACACGTGGGAAAAACCATTCAAGGCAATAATTGAAAGAATTCGCAGGTAGGCTGGAATATGTCCCTATGGCTCGTATACGACGACCTTTTACAGATTGGAAATTCGTTACATTCGCGCGACAACGTTCATTAAAGGGATAATGATATCAATTCAATTGTTCATAACTAAATTCTCATTGTTCTTAACGATTTTGGTGTACGTGCTTACCGGTAATGTACTTAACGCCGAGTACGTGTTTGTGGCAACCGCATTTTATGATATCCTCAAGCAGATCATGACAAAGAACTTCTCCTCTGGGATCACGGAGATAGCAGAAGCGAAGGTGTCAATCAATCGTATTCAAGAGTTCCTTTTATACGATGAAGCCGAAGACAGTTCCGAGGTGGCGAACTTTAACGGAAAAAGTTCAAAGGAGGACCTTACGAATACAATTCACGCACGAAATGGGGATCCCAAAAACGGATTCGCAATTCATTTAGATAAGGCTTCGGCAAAATGGAACCGGAATACTGCGACAAACGATCTGGAAAACGTAAACTTTTGGGCGCTACACGGGCAGCGAGTCGCTTTGGTTGGGCCAGTTGGCAGTGGAAAAAGTACACTTTTAAATCTTATTTTAAAAGAGTTACCTTTGGAAACTGGCGCACTCAATGTAAAGGGAAGGATCTCCTATGCCTCCCAAGAACCTTGGTTATTTGCGGGTAGTATCAAGCAAAATATTATTTTTGATCAGTCGCTCATCCTAGAAAGATACGAAAGGGTCATTAAAGCATGTGCGCTAGATAAAGACTTCATCCAGTTACCTTACGGAGATAAAACTCTGGTTGGCGAACGGGGAGTTGCGTTGAGTGGAGGACAAAAGGCGCGCATTAGTTTGGCTCGCGCGATTTATAAAAAGGCCGACATTTACCTGTTGGATGACCCTTTTTCCGCTGTCGACCCTCACGTGGGAAAGCAAATGTTTGAGGGTTGCGTCTTGAAATTTTTAAAAAACAAGTGCAGTATCATTGCAACCCATCAGTTACAGTACTTGCAATATGTGGACCACATATATTTCGTCGAGAATGGCAAAATTCCACTAAATTGCACCTATCAAGAGCTTCGCGCGTCAGAAAAGTACTTTCTCAAACACCTTCAGCAAAAATCCGAAACAACAAATATGCAGGAAGTTACCACCGTTCCGTTGATCACTAAGCTACCCTTTGAACCTGCTCAAGAAAAAGAACAACGCAGTTCTGGGTCTATCGCTAGAAACATCTACTATTCGTACCTAAAAGCTAGCGGCTGGGGTTGGATGCCAATATGTCTGCTACTAATCTTTATAATTGTTCAACTATCACACAGCGGCGCTGATTACTTCCTAACTCTGTGGTAAGTCAATTGCGTGTATCAATTTTTTGCTCACCCCTCCTTGTTTTAGGGTCAACTTTGAGCAGGAGAACGCCGCCCAGAATTTGACCGTGGGACCATTGAATTTAGATTCCGATTCTTGTATTTACACATACTCTGGAATAGTTGCAATAATGATACTAACAACTTTGCTCGGATCATTTGGTTTTTACATTAGCTGTATGCGAGCCTCTGTAAATCTTCATAATAATATGCTAGCTAACATTATTTACGCGCCTATGAAGTTTTTCAACAGTAATTCATCGGGAAGGATCATAAACAGATTTTCAAAGGATATGGGCACTATCGATGAGATATTGCCGAGTGTCGCTCTGGACTGTCTTGACGTGAGTTTTATTTTCAATTGAAACTAATCCTAAGCACGCTTTATAGGTCGGTTTAAGTATTTTGGCAGCCACGATCATGATAAGCTTTGTAACGCCATGGATGGCACTTGCGTCTGCAGTAATATTTATCGTGTTCTATTTAATCAGGATGGTATATCTACAAACCAGCTGCAATCTCAAACGCTTGGAGGGGATTAGTAAGTATACCTTAAACCAGAACCCACCACTACTGAAAATTTTAGCTCGCAGCCCAGTATTTGAGCATTCAAACTCAACTCTAAGGGGGTTGACATCGATAAGAGCCTTTAAAAGCCAAGCAATCTTCCAACAAAAATTTGACGAATTACAAGACGTCAACAGCTCGGTTTGGTACTTGTACACATCATGCTCGAAAGCGTTCAGTTTTTGGCTTGATTGTATCTGCGTAATCTACATCGCTCTAGTCACGTTCAGCTGTATCATATCGAAATCTGGTATGTACACCCACTATCACTCAACAATCACTTTACAACTACCACACTTTTAGCGGATTTTGGAGGAAACGTCGGATTAGCGATTACCAAAGCGATGTCTTTATCGGGGCGATTCCAGTGGGGCATGCGACAGTGGAGTGATTTGGAAAATCAAATGACTTCAGTCGAGAGAGTGCTTGAATACTCCAGAATAGAAAAGGAAGAGGAGCGCACAGACACGATACCCCCGTCGACTTGGCCTGAAAAGGGAAGCATATCCTTTGAATCGGTCTCATTACGTTATTCTGAAACTGAGCCTTACATCCTGAACAACATTACGTTCGATGTAAGGGCGACTGAAAAAATAGGGATCGTAGGTAGGACGGCGTCTGGAAAATCGTCTCTCATTAACGCCTTTTTCCAACTCGTTAATATCGAGGGGAAAATTCTCATAGACCAAATCGACATAACAAAAGTTCCTCTCGATGTTCTCCGTTCCAAGATATGTATTATACCTCAGGAACCGATGCTATTCAGTGGCACAATTAGAAGTAATCTTGATCAGTTTAAGGAGCACTCCGACGATGTGTTATGGGATGCTTTATCTGAAGTGGAACTAAAAAAAGTGATCGCAGAATATTCCCTCGGTTTGGATACCGAAATATCCCAAGGAGCTTCAAACTTCAGTATTGGTCAAAGGCAGTTGTTGTGCTTAGCAAGAGCCATAGTTAAAAAGACTAAAATTATTATATTGGATGAGGCCACGGCAAACGTGGACCATCAAACCGATTCACTCATACAAAACACAATTAGAAACAAATTTTACGATTGCACAGTATTAACGATCGCGCATAGGTTAAATACGGTTATGGATTCAGACAAAATTTTAGTGTTAGAATCTGGAAGCATATTAGAGTTTGATCACCCGAGTGTATTACTACAAGATGAAAGCAGTACATTTTACTCAATGGCCCAACAAACCGGAATTGTAATGGGCGATGTACTACTGAACTTAGCTAAGGAAGTATGACATAAGTATATATGGAGTAATGCGGGTTTTTAAGTAATATTTCTGTGTTTTAGAGTTACACAGAGAACTCGGCCAGAGAAGTGTGATAATTACCAAGTGATATATTTTTATATTTGTTTTAATTATACGTTTTTATTTGTCTACATAATGTTATTAATAAATTTGTATTTTTTTAATATTTTTCTTTTTGATATTCTTCTACTAACAGCATTTTCAGGATGGGCTTTATTCCAAAAAAATTACTTAGGTTAGTTATTACTGTTTTACTGGGGGTATAAAGAAGATCAATACAGACTAAGGGGAAATCTAGGTCCTCAAAACTCATTTTTATCTTTTTTTTCAGCAACGAGCTCTATCCAATGGTAGTATGATAAAAGATCAAACGATTGGTGTGAACATTGTATATGTGTGTGTACTACTTGAAAGTTATATGTGAACGTTGGCTTATGGCAACGTCTCTCCACTGGAGCCACAAAGAAGATCTAGTGAATTTTTATTGGCTCATTTGTAAATTTAACATTCGACAACCAATAAGATGCCAGAAATTTATCGTATATTTGTGCAGTGTCTCACGTACATGTACTTAAATAAAATGTAATGTTTACATAAATTTCGAACAAAATGCACTGCAAAACAAATCTGGTATTAATAATTAGTCCAAAATTTAAAAATGTGCGCCTTCCAATGAGTAACTTATAAATCTGTGTAGCTTCTAAAGATTCATAAAATTGTACAAATTATTTGTGATGTTTTCCTCTAATTTAAGGTTAGGTTGCCTGTTAACAATTATATGTGTAAGTTGTATTGTAATCTTTTACCAGTTACAAATTTATAAATTGTATGATGAAATTGACAACTTAGGTAAGGTCTACTTATCCATATAAACCTTCATGTGATTCTCTAAATGTCTTGCAGCGCAGCTACAAAGAAAAGCAGCAAACGAGCTATTAGAACAGAAGGACAACTACGAAAATGATTTGGTGGTTATCTACAATAGGGTTCCGAAAACTGGATCGACAAGTTTTGTTGGCATCGCGTACGACTTGTGTAAGCGAAATCGCTTTCGTGTACTACACATTAATATTACTGCCAATAATCATGTTTTATCGTTACCAAATCAGTTTAAATTTGTCGAAAATATTACCCACTGGAATGTTATGAAGCCGGCTTTGTATCATGGGCATTTTGCATTTTTGGACTTTTCAAGGTGCCGCTTGCAGTTACATTGAAACATTTTTTTAACATTACTTTGTAGGTTTGGTGCAAAGAAACCTTTATTTATAAACATCATACGTAAACCTTTGGATAGGTTGATCTCCTATTATTATTTTTTGAGATACGGTGATAATTTCAGACCCTATTTAGTTAGGAGGAAGCACGGAAACACAATGGTAATGAATCTTATAATGTCATATCCCTACTAATTGTGGTTCTAGACGTTTGATGAATGCGTCAAGAATGATTTACCCGATTGTGATCCTAATAATATGTGGTTACAAGTGCCATTTTTCTGTGGACACGCGGCCAATTGTTGGTAGGTATAGGTATTTTATTTGTTCACAGAACAGACGTCATGGTGTATGTACTATGAATTGTGTCGTACTGTATGAATGTGATACAAGCAGAGAGTCATAAATATCGAGATTCAATCTGGTCTGTTCCAGCTAAAGTTTGCACTTATTACTAATGTTCTTATACACACTTAGTAAATGTTTGCTTGAAATTGCTAGAAAATATTTGCTATTGTAGCTATTTGTGAGTTGTGGGTAATCATAATGAATTATGGCCGAAACGTCTGTTTGTTATGTACAAATTCCATACATAAGTGCAAATATGCAAATAATTGAAATCTTATTTTTGTTCATGTATGAAGTATGATTTATTATGTTTATTTTATCAAAATTTGTCTGTACAATTGCAATGTGCAGGAAATCGCGTTGAATAAAACAAAGTGTTTTTAGCTTAAAGTATGTTTTTTTTCTCAGTTGGTGAAGGAAACTTTAGTTTTTTGTTTCACAAGTATTGATTTTGATTTCGACTTTGATACAAACAAAAAATTTTCTTTTGTGTTACAAATAACAATTTTTTGACCTTTTGTTCAGTCCATCTGAGAATATACATTCAGAAATATTTTTATAAAAATGCATTTCTTAAAAATCACTAGATATTGTCTATTGATTTTGTTAATTCACTTCCCTGATACAATATTTGCTCTTTTGGTACATTTTGGCGAAAAAATATTTGTTTGGCATTGCTTAGGTATCATCCGAACAGGTAGGTAAATAAATATCTTCAAAATACTTTTATTTATTTTTTGTTATTATTTATAAAAATTAGCTGTATGTGACCATTTATCTTAGTTTGGTGGGGTCAATTCAATAAGTGAGAGGTGGCCACAATTTAAAAATGAAAATAAACTATTTTTCAACTTTTTGTGATAATTTTTTTGGAAACTGATAGAGGTTACAAATTTTAGTTGGTACCATAAATACTCTTCCATAACTTCTATGTACTATACAGTGCATTGGAAATCAGAGAGTCACCTCAATATCTCTTTTTATTTGGCGAGATATGAAACATTTGTCAAGTCTAATTTTATATGTGACATTTCGATCGCATATTGAAACTTCCGGTTTAACTGGAAGTGGATGAATCTTTTGTTATGCATATTTAGTGTTGATTTTCAAATATCTTAAAAAACAGAGTAATGCGTTTGAAATACAAAAATGGTATAGATTTCCGATTGAACCGTAAGTGATACCGGAAGTGTCAATATACGATCATATAGATCGTAATGCCACATAAAATTAGATTTGACAAATTTTTCTTATCTCGCCAAATGAAGTAGATATTGAGGTGACCCTCACATTACGTCCAACCTCATTCTTTGTTACAGGAAGCCTGGTAATAAATGGGCTTTAACTGAGGCCAAAAAGAATTTAGCGAATAATTATTTATTGGTAGGCGTAACGGAAGAGTTGGATGATTTTATAAAAATTCTGGAAGTGACGCTTCCGAGAATGTTTAGAGGTGCAATGGACCATTACTTAAACAGCAATAAGTCACATTTGCGACAGACTGTTCAGAAAGACACGACGTCTGATGAAACTATAAGAAAAATCCAAAAAACGACCGTGTGGCAAATGGAGAATGAACTCTACGAATTTGCTTTGGAGCAATTTCATTTTATGAAGAGACAAACGCTCGGTGATAAACCACAGAAGTTTATTTATGAAAAAATTCGACCAAAATGAAAGGATTTGTTTTACATTGGCAAGATTTTACATTTTTATGACTGATATACATTATTGTACGGGTAACTTATATGTGTGTACTTTATTAACATATATTTGGTTAATTTAACAATTTGTTCCTTAAAAGGTATTTTGTACTTCATAACTTGTAAGCTCAACGGAGTAAGTAATAAAATGTGTGAGAATGTCTGTTATAAGGTTTAACTTGGTACAAGCGTCCAGATTTTCGGAAAGCTCCATTTATTGGGCAAAAAATAAGTAAATTTTATTCAGCAGAGAAGTTTCCCGGTGTAACTCTTTCTTGTCAGCTTGATACAAGAAATTTTGATTTTGAAATTTGGCGGGTATTTTATTTTTCACGGAGATCTGGAACTCTCTCTCTCCCAGGGAAATGAGTTTTATATTGTTGCTCTTAAATATTCATTTGAAGGGTTGGTGTTAAAAACTTTTCTTTCTAGAGGCAGCACATGATATACTTTCTAGAAAGTATGTACACGTCATATATTCGCTTTTGCAGCCACTTTCTCTGTCCGTCCGTCTGTCCGAGGCCTTAACTACTCTTACAGTTTTCAAGATATTGAGTTCGTTCCTTTTGCATTCGGTAGCGTATAGCTCTAGCACCGGAGCCAAGGAAAATCTTGACAATTAAACTACGCATGCGCAGACTGCCCAATGTCAACTTCCTTATCAATATATTTTGTTGAAATTTTAACCACAGATATTTCTGGGAAAGGCAAACATATCGCAAATAGTAAAAATCAGATGTGCGCATGCGCAGACTGCGCAATGGGAACTTTCTTATTTATGGAGATATTTCTTTGACAATACGTTTAGGCAGCGAAGAAGATTCAACAATGGTTGATAGTATATTTCTCATTAATAAATGTAGATAAATACATAGAGTTTATAAAATAATTTCAAATAAATTAAGACAGACAGACAATATACCTATTACCTTTATCCAAGTTTGTGTTGGTAATTCTGAAAATGATTTTATTGTATAATTAATGAATACGTTGTGTAGAGCTACATACGTCCTTTGTGATTTTGACGAATGACTCCATTGACGTAGGGCCGGCTTGCTCAACCATTGAATAGAACACACCGCTTTTCTCTGAAAGTAACTTGTACGGATGATCAAACTCCACCACTTGTCCGTCGCGTATCACCATGACTCGATCTGAATCTATGATTGTATTCAGCCTATGCGCTATTGTAAGCACGGTACAATCAGAAAATTTACTTCTAATTGTTTTCTGAATGAGCGCGTCGGTTTTTGGATCAAGACTTGCAGTCGCTTCGTCAAGTATCAGAATTTTGTTCTTGCGAATGCTAGCTCTAGCCAAGCACAGAAGCTGCCTTTGTCCAACACTAAAATTTGTTCCACCTTCGGCCATCTTGAACCTTAGACCTTGTGGCAGATCGGCGATTAAGGGTTTCAGTTCGACCTCTTCAAGCGCATTCCATAACTCTTCATCAGAATGTTCCTCGAACGGATCCAAGTTTTTACGCAGTGACCCAGAAAATAGCACTGGTTCTTGTGGAATGATTGAAATTTTAGTACGAAGATTGTGTAGTGGAACTGTGGATATGTCGATTCCATCTATTAATATTGTTCCACTAATGGTTGATAAGCGGAAGAGAGCTTGAATTAGAGAAGTTTTTCCGGCACCCGTTCGTCCAACAATTCCCACTTTTTCATTGCTGAAAATAGTGAAGCTCAGCTGTTTTAGTACGTTCGGTTCCGTTTCTGTATATTTTAAGGAGACCAGTCGGAATTCTATATTTCCTACGCAGGGCCAATGTGTTGAAGGTATTAACTTCCAGGCCTCTGGTTCTGCCTTAATGCGAATATATTCCACAACCCTTTCTACGCACGTCATTAAATTTTCAAATTCGCAACACTGCCTCATGCCCCACTGGAACTTGCCTGTCAACGCCATCGCTTGCGTAATTGCCAACCCTACGTTTCCGCCGAAGTGTTCTGAAAGTTGACGGGAAGCGATGGAAAACGAATGAAATGTAATTACCAGCTCCACGAACTAAGAAGCTGAACGTCGTGATGGCGATGTAACTGACGCAAACCATGTCGAGCCAAAAACCGAAAGCTCTGGACGAAGTCAAGAATGTGTACCAAACTGCGCTGTGCAAGTCTTGGAGGCTATCAAATTCGTTTTCTAGTATTCTTTCCGCCCCAAAAGCTCGAATGGTGGTTAATCCTTCCAGTGATGCACTCATGTGTGCGAAAACGGGACTTCGCGCTGTTGGCATTGTCGATTATTTGACTGATTGTGGAGGTAATACCTACTTACTTCTTCCCTCCAATCTTTTAACGCATCTATTCGTTGCCAAGTAAAATATTCTCAGCAAGTAGAAGAACGTGAAAATAATCGAAGTTGTGATTATCATCCATGGATTTAGGAAGCACACGATCGACGTAATTGCCAGGACTGAAATTGCGATCTGTACAAGATAATTTTTAAGTTCAGCTTTATTATGTTAATTAATTACCGTTACACAGTCAAGGGCGACAGTTGGCAAGACATCGTCAACCATACCCATGTCCTTTGAGAATCTGTTGAGAATTCGACCGGAATTATTTCTCACAAAGAATGCCATAGGGGCCTTTACAATGCTTGCGAGCATCGTGTTGTGCAAACTTCTGGAGGCTTGCATGCAGAAATTGTAGAAACGTAATGTTCCAAGTAGGGAACTCACTACCATTAGGCATACTAGAATCGCGTAAACGATAATGCATCTCCTTCTCGTAAAGTTCGAAGAGTAAGTATAGACGTATAGACCCGTTGCGTTGGGGAAGGTTTTTGCTTGTTCGACATTTACCCTTTAATTAGAAGTTGTAGGGATGTCATGTAGAGATCTACTCACCAGTAGGTTAGAAAGTAATCCGATCCATTTGATGCAGCGTAAGTCAGAATGAAGATTAGCACGATGAATATTAAACGTGAAAACGACCCAGCTGCTCGCATATACGAAGTGTAAACGTCAGTTGAAACTGATCCACATTGAATACGTTCTTTATCAATATTTGCGGATCCCTCATTGAATAAAAATTCGTTGTCAAAGAAAGATCGTTTCTTCATCGATTCGTTTTCGTCCAGAATTGGTCCCGTCTCCAACAACGCCGTATAACCAACGCCGGAGCTTTTTAGATCATCGTACGATCCATGAGTGACAATAGTTCCATTTTCTAATACATAAATGGATTCTACGTGTTTTAGAAACTGCAACTGATGAGTTACAAGTACCACGCACTCTTGGCCGAGAAAAGTTGAGATACATTCCGAAAATAAATGCTTCCCGACTTGTGTGTCTACAGCCGACAATGGATCATCCAGCAAATAAATGTCCGCCTTCTTGTACACGGCCCTCGCCAAATTTATTCTGGCTCTCTGCCCACCACTCAGTGCCACCCCACGGCTACCAACCAGTGTTTTGTCAGCACGCGGTAGGTTATTGAGGTCCCTTTCCAACGCACATACTTGAAGAACCTTCCGATATCTATCCAAATCCATGGACTCTCCAAACAGTATGTTTTGTTGAATAGTTCCGGCGAACACCCACGGATCTTGCGAAGCATACGAAATGGTGCCTTCTGTGCGTAAAGTTCCTGAAGATAAAGGCAGTTCTCTAAGCAAAGCCTGTAGCAAACTCGTTTTTCCACCACCGACAGGTCCTATTATTGCAGTCAGTCGTTTCCCTTGCAACATGATATTTATATCATTTAAAACCTTTGTCTGGAATTTGCGCCACTGTGCAGACGCATGCTCCATGCAGATCTTGCTGTCATTCATGCTACCGTTGTGTATAGTTGACGCCTTCTTCTCCTCTTCTTCCAATTTGCAATTAATCCCAACCGAATGCTGATTGCGCATGGCCTGATCGACTTCTTCGTGCATGAGAAAGGTCCGCAACCTTGTAATTGACACTTTCAGTTCAGACAATTCTGTGATACCCCCAGGAAAATGCACGGTAATCGCTTGTCGCAGAATATTATAAAATGCAACCACGACAAACACATACTCTGCACGTGGAGTATTCCCAAAAAGGACATGGGTGATGATCGTTAAGGACATCGCGCACTTTGAAGTGAAACCAGAAAAGGTAAAGAGTAGTCCTTTAACATACGCAGCTAATTGCACATTATGGATTTCTAACCTATACAAGTTTGGTATAGAAATTGTTAGAAGACCAGGCAATTTACTTACTTTCTTACCATTTCCACCACACGAGTAAACGGCTGTTCCCACGCATACATTTTAATCACCTGAATTCCTGTTATAACTTCGTTCATTAGTCGAACTCGTTCGTCCGTTTTGAAAGCCGTTCTCAAGCGAAACGTAAAATTCTTCTTTCCCATATACACTAAAATGTTTGTATAAAACCAGAGCGACTAGCTAGGACATACACTGTAGGGGTATGAAGGAGATCATAAAGAGAATGCCAATGACGGAGACAAAACCGAGGCGGTCATTCAAAATGTAGATAATAATTATTGTTTCTAGTGGACAAACCCATAAATTATGAGCGTGGTTAGCCGCATGGTCGCAGCGACTCACATCGTTTGACAGTAAATTCACCATTTCCCCCACACTCCAAGCGCCCAATTCCGTTTTCTTTACCCTCAGTGATTTCCTATAGATCAGCGAACAGCACGCAATTCTCAGTTTCATTCCGAAAACGTGTAGAAGAAGCATATAGTTGTGACCCAATAAAACGTTGAGATAAGAACACACTACAATAATCCCAGCATGCATGTAGGAACTGGTCACACTCTCATTGCCAGTGTGCGTAAAAAATGCTATCAATCGTGCCAGTGATAGCGACTGAATAATTCTACAACAATCAATGGTTATTTCTCCAAAGCGTTTCAAAATACGTACTTTAGTACCACTTCAAGAAAGAATAGCAGTAAGCCCAATATCACAAATTCCATCAGAAAAACCCTAGCCAAAGCTCTCCACAGTGAGGGGTATTCTTTTTTGCATTCCTCCTGCCATGATTTCTCCAAAGCGTCACCTAATCTCTTGGAGGAGTGCCGCTTTAATATCAGCGGTATATCTTCTTCTGTGAGAGCCTTATGAAATCCTTTTAGAAATGTCGGTATGGTATACCTAAAAGCAATCAGGTGATGAGTAATAGGAGCGGGTGGGTACTAACGCAAAGGTAAGTATTGACAAAAAATTTGCGTTTTCTCTAGGATTATGGGGTTTTTGTGTTTTCTCTTCATTTTCCATCTTGGGAAACTAAATGTCGATTTGTGAAAAGTATAAACGGCCAGAACATATTCTTGACAGTGACATTTATCATTTGATTGACATTGGGGATTTACGATAATTCGACCGGTTTAACCTGCTTGGTAGATTTTGCTATGGTTACAATTATTGGGACAATTGTTCCTATGGTGATTTCTATCAACCCGGTTAAAACGGTTGAATTATCGTAAATCCCCATTAATATTATATGCTGTACTGAGAAGTGCAATGAATTATCTGGGTCTGAATTCAATGTGGCTCATTTTTCGTTCGTTTTGCCGTTTTCAGAAAATTCGGTTTCGAAAAATCAATCACTAGAGCACCAGAAGGATTTTGGGTAAGTCTCCAAAAGATTAATGTGACTTTTTAAAGATGATATTTACCTGAATGTACCAAAACACCCTTGGTTCATTCAACAAATTTGTTTTCGACCGACTCTACGACATTTAAGAACAATATTGACAGGTTTATACATACAAGCTAGTAAACCATACAGTAATCAAGTGAAACCTGGAAAATTAACAAGAATGCATACTGAATTTGATACCCTTCGTTTTATATGCATGTAGTAATCGAAAATACAAAACTCTACCCGGTGTTATTTTCTATAAGGGACTTAAATCAGTATAGATTTACAGATTTGCGATATGCCTTTTCCGCTCTTCCTGGAGGCTCGCAGTTATTTTTTGTGACTCGTTGTCGTATTATCTTCGTGTGTATTCGCGATGCACCTTTTCCACTTCATTCTAGGGTACACCGTCACTCGTACAAACTGTACACTGTTTCTCACACTTCCGTTGAGTTTTTGAGTAAAGCCGTTTTGTTCGATTACTCAACGGGGTGGTGTGAGTAATACTCTGCAATTGATGGTACCCCTCATGTTTCCGAATGTGAACTGGTTTAATTAGGTATGAGCGATGGACAAACGATACACTCCGTTGTGATTATCTTATTTACTGACAAATCCTTATGAAATTTCAGTAGCAGCCTTAGACATAATAACCAATCCGTACCTTATACTAATTGAACATGGAAAGAGTCAGGTGAGTCATGTACATACATATAACTCTCGCCAGGAAAGATTGCCGGTCACAGCACACCTTCTGTCGATCTACAATCTATGTTTTTCTTAAGATGCGAGCGAAGTCTTTTCATTTAACATTGACACGATACTATCCCGGAAGTCGGTCACATCTTTAGAAAAACATGGATTGTAGACCGGGATCTAGTGTTCTGTGACCGGCAATCTTTCCTGGCGAGAGGTTTATGTAACTTTTCTTATTTATGAAATGATTTTGCTGCAATTTTAGGAGTCTGCAAATCGATTGCGTGTGTTAAACATAGCAAAATAGTGGCGGAAGGGGAGGGGTTAAAACTTCAAATGCGAATATCTCGAGAACGGAGTGTCCTGAAAGTCGTATGTGATTTTTTATATCTATCACAGACTTTCACAAAGGGCAATAGGATTTTTCAAAATCAAACACAAAGGTGTGAAGCTTCAGAGAGGGCAGCCAGTCAGCCACTCGATCTTCGAGTGAAATTTGTAGCAATCTTATCATCAGGCATTCGTTAATTATATCATAGTGTATTCTATTCTTTACACTAAGATTATATTAAGTTCAAATTTATCATATGAGTACTTCAAGGTAATTTCTTATTAATTCATTTAAATACATAACACTGGGGGCATATTTTAAGAACATAACTTAATTAAAATTAAGCTGCGCGTCCGGCTAACGTTAATTATTTGAAGTTGGAATTAATTAAGTATGAGAGCAGCTAATGCAAATTATATTAAATTTAAATTTAAATTTTAGAAAGGGTTAAGTATTGTATTTTACTTTATATTTTAATTTTATTTCATTAACATAATTGGGAGTATTCCAAGGAACTTGTGCTGGTTTAGGGTAGTACTGCTGCAACTGTCAGTGAAACCAGAATTGAGCCTTAAATTTTGGTTCTGTAAACTGCAAGACATTTCAATGCTTAATTGAGTTCGCGATTTCGTAGCCAATCGGGCCTGAGTACTGCCACTTATCCATGGGTTCGTAGTAGACAGAAGGTAATGCAGCACTCGTTTTCCGACTTTCTTTTTACCTTTTTTAGTGATCACTCCCATCACTTAGTTACGAAAAGTGTGGCGCCGAAACTATTTCAGAATTGAAGACAGAAGGTAAATGTATTTGGTTTAATTTCTAGAGTTGCGTTTCAGCCGCCGCAACCATTCCCGTCAAGATATTTCAAGTATTTTTGTTCCGTCAGAACGCTCTTGCCATCTAGAAAACGAGGGCGAATTAATATTTTTGAATTTCAGCTCCGTTAAGTAATTATTTAGATGATTTTGGTTTTGTTCATTTAAAAATTAAAACGACCATTAAAACTGCAAGGCCGTGCTGGCTTACGTCGTTATTAAGTCCATAAGAGACTTTTATGACGACCTGACAAATTCCAATTAACAATATGAGCCTTACTGGACTGGCGACTTTAGAAATTTCAATCCGGTCAATTCAGAAAGAGCAATTAATAGTAGCTAAATAAATGTGTTGCCAGTAAACGTTATCTGAATAAGTCGTTAGGGGTATCAAAAGAAGCGCTCTTAATTAATTTAAATGTTAAGATCAATTAGAGATTTTAGGACATCCACAGCAAATGAAAGAAGTTTCAATTTTTGGATGTAAATAACCGAATATGCTGTGTCGGTTGGGAAAAGCGGCGCTCCCTCCATGGCATACCGATCTTCTTCCCGTGTAAACGTCGCTTATTTGAGAAGTGAGTGTAGGGGAAGGCGACGCGGATGAATCACTGCATTTACTCTAAGATCCACCACAGTTAAAGTATTAGGTACTTAGTCTACTTATTTTAGCTATTGATACTGACGTTTTAACATCTGTTAATAAATAGTAGGTATATTACGTCATAAGGTTGTAATAGTGCGTATTACAGGTGAGTAAAAAAATTACAATCCTACGAACCTGTAATATGCAAAAATAACCGAATTACGTACCATACTCTTTCTACAACCTCCGTGAATGTCGAAATGAAAATAAGGCAAAATTCAAAACGACGTCTGTTGACAGTTTTGACATTTGTAGAATTGTAGATGATTGTCACTTCCAAACGTACATGATCTGTTCTAATTTTTTTCATTATGCACAGGTGTATGTAACGGGTATACCTCTAAATTATACGTTATGACCTCTTTTTCAGGGAGGTCGTAGAAAAATGAAATTTCAATGTTCATTGTGCCTGTAGAGTGTAGACGTACTGAGTATTTATTTTGAGAGTCTAAGGTAGGTTACGGCAACGTAAGGTAGGATACATTTAATGAATGAACAAATTTTCAAGAGTAAATTAAGGACAATATGGAAAGAGGGTTATTTTCAAGGGATAGTTCTTCGGATACTAAGTTTTTGTGTGAAATTTTAAATTTTTTACTAATTAGTTTGACGAATTAAAGAATTATGCTCATTTTGAGATCACAAACAAAACAATACTTTATGTGGTTTTTTATCTGGAAAATCTAAGGAAAGTGCCTAGGCTAGCTAGATGGACGCGTCGAGGATGTTTTTGTTGAGCTAGCCTAGGAAAATTATGTAACGTATTTTGGTTGTGTTGTGCCAGTGGTATGGCGTTGAATTCAAATTAATTATGACTTTGCGTTTATTTTGTTTGTCAATTGTTTGGGTGTGGAATCTCTGGAGATTGTAACTTGAATAGGGAGGTAGGTATAGCATTGGGGTAAAAAATTACCCTCTACTTTTTTTTACGGAAATACACTTTTTGAAACACCAGGAATTTGAATCAAATAAAATCTCTATGATCTCGGTCTGTCTGTACTCCTATTTTCGCGGCTGAACCACTATCGCCTTTCCTGCAATCGCGATTGTAATTCAGCAAAGAAATGGAGGATGGCTATAAGCATAAAATCTCCTTCACAGATTTTCTGCGAATATAAAAATACGGACATTTCCGGTGCAATTCAATGATAAATTCTCTAGATGGGTACTTAGTTTTGAGAAACGATGTCATACGACTCACAATCGAAAGCTTGCGTGTATAATAAGTTCAACTTGAGTCTCGAGAAATAACTACCAGCGTTTATAATAAATTAATTGAATAATGGGCCCTGAGCTCTACAAGCACACCATGACTCATTTGTCATTGGAGACCTGATGATTTAATTATTAGGTTCCTAGAGTATAACCCAATTGTATATGTCGATTGAATTCTAACCGCTCTAAAACTACCCTATCATTATAGACTATCGAACTTTTGAATAATTCAATCTTCAGTTCAAGTTGCGACACATTCCAAATGGGTATGTTAAATAATATGGCTTTTTCATTTGTCTTTATTTCTCGATATCTGACATTGACCGTCCCTTAAACACTTTTACTCGGTAATTTAGATGAAATATTCAACTTTTCCCATACATAAAAGTCAAAATTTTTAATATTGTATTCAGGTCGCGTTTACTACGACGTTTTAATAAACATTTTTATTGATTGTTGGATATTGTAAGCGAGATTGTTCTTTTTTTTGACATTCAAGTACAAATAGTAATTATTGTAAATTATGTCGCTGTATGGGATTCGAATTCGGGTTCACAGATATTACAGTTAAACCAAATTATGAATCTAGGGGCGTAAATTGCATATAAGCGCAAACGCAAAACCTTATAAAACAAAAAAGTTTTAAACTACCCCTCGGATAAGTTGTACCCAATAGTTACATTATTTAAACTGATTACTTTATAAAATAATATTTACAAATGGCCTTAATATCTTAAGGGATCTGTATTTGAAAATTTAGCTGTTTAAGTTAATAAAAAAAAAATCAAAATGGGCTATTCAACCATCAACTGAAATTGTTATGCTATCAATATATCTAACTTACAGCGATTGAAAAGTCTACCCTCCAAAGATAGGGGTTAAAATTGTTAGTTCTGCAAGAGCAGATTCGTCCCTTCGGCCTCTGACTCTGCAAAACCTGTCTTCACAGATGCTTCTTATATTTCTTCTTATTTTTGGTGTGTT